GACCTCTGCTGGGCCGCCCAGTCACTGCGCTATGGGGACTCGGCAGGTCACTGACCCCTGGCAAGGGGGCCGTGGCTTTCTAGCCGGAGGGGGTGCTTTGGGAACCAGCACAGCATCGTCCAGCAGCTGGGGCATCCTTTTGGGGGGTTAGGTCCTCAGGGGGCGACCTCATTTAAGGGGCTTTGTAAGTCTCTGCTGCCTCAGCCTGGGTCCCTGGAGATGCCATGGGTGGGCTTTGAGGGAAGGCCTTCCACTAGCTGGAGAGTCCAGAAGCCTCTGCTCCCCATTCACATATTTTGCAAAGAGCCCCGAGATGCCAGCCTCACCGGGAGCCCCTGGCCTAGACGTCTGGAGAGGCTGCTGTGGGGGGCTGCCCAGTCCCCCCCCACGCGCCCCATTGCTTGCCTCCGCGGTCAAGCCCTCCCACCTGGCCTGCTGTCCTGGCCGTGCAGAGGGCGGTGGGCCCTGGGCAGCTCTCCCATGAGCCAGCGGACAGGGGCCCGCGTCAACGAGGAGGGGTGCATGCAAGTGTGTTGCTCTCCAGGGTGGGGTTGCTGTGTTCTCTGGGATTCCTTAGGCCCCTGATGGACCTCCTGTGCCCCTGGCCCGGGGACCCCGCCTGCCCCAGAGGCCTGTGGCTTCTGGGCAGCTTGTCTTGTGGACTAGGATCCTTGGAAGCCCCACCCTTCCCCCCATGCAAGCCAGGCCTTCAGGATTCAAAATAGACCTCACAGGTCACCGGCAAATCTGGCTGATGACTTGTCATTTCAGCGAGGGCTCATTCAGCGTCTGCCACCTGCAGCGGGCGTGGAGGTTGGAGGTTGTCCCACCTCAGCTCCTCCTCGGGCAGCCCGCCCACCACCCAGCCTCCTGACTCAGGTGTCCTTGGCCTTCCTGCTCCCAGGCCTGGCGAGGGGTGGGCTTGGAAACATCCGCCTCCAGCTACAAACCAGGAAGCAGGGGAGCGGGAAGTGTCCTTCTCCCCCTCTCTGTCCTTCTCTCTTTCTCTGTTTCTCAGTCGGGCTCTCCCTTTCCTGCCCCACCCCCTCCCCCCACGCACTCTCCTTGTGTTTCAGGAAGAACTGGCCACAGTCTCCTGGCTGACCCCACAGCGTCCCCTCTGTGGTGGCTGCAGCAGCTCCGGCTCACACCCCCCATTTCGCTGCACGGGGGCAGGGGCAGTGACCGTGACCTCTCACTGGGGCAGCCAGTAACCGTCGCTGCCCCTGAGTGGACCTCCCTCAGGTGGACCTGGTTGGCTGCCAGGGCCCTGGGGCGTGCAGAGGGACCCGGGACATGTGAGCCGCCAGCACCCCGCCGCCTCACCGCACCCTCGCCGTCAAGCTCACAGATGCCTCCTCTAAAAGAGAATTCTTGGTGTGGGTCCCGGACGAGGGGTGTCCATGCTCGGTCTGGGCGCGGCTCCTGCTGTAGACGTGCAGTAGATGGACCTCCCCAGCGGGGGGCTCACGCCAGGTCTCTTTCCTCTCTGCACCCCTGTTTCTCTGGGAAAGTCACATTCGGGAGGCAAACCAGTGCAGAGCAGGCGCCCACGGCCGAGGGCACCCGTTTCACTCCATCGCCTTCTGGGGAGGCAGAGAGCTGGGGTCTCTGCAGAAAGAACTGCCGAGGCCCTTGAGGACTCTGGTCGGGGGCTGGGCCTCTTCAGGCCCCCTCTCTCTGCTGCCTCCGCTTGCTCCTGGCTGTGTAGATGTCCGGGGGAGCTCCAAGGCCCCCAGCTGTGCGGAGGGCATCCCCGCGGCCTGGGATGCAAGGGCCAGCCAAACGCGCCTTCAGCCGAGCGCCTCCCAGGCCTGCTCCTCAGGCCTGTGGCCGGGAAGGCCGGTTTCCAGGAGTTGTCACAAGGAGTGGGGGCCGGCCTCTTCTCTTCCTCCCTTCCCCCCTCCTCCCCAGCTGCACAGGGCACGGTGCGGGGGGCGGATAAGGCCCGGGCCAAGAGTCTGGGAGAAGGGGCGGTGGGGGGGCTGGACTGTGAAGGGGCCCTGTGAGGGTGTGCTGGGGGCGCCCTCCCTCGGCCACCACCCCTCCCCCTCCAGCTGAACCCACAGAGGTCAAACCCCTGGTGTGCCCAGCAGTGCCCCTCCTTGCCTCCCCCAAGGTCAGAGGTCACCACTGGTGTGTCCCCCCCCCCCTCCGGCCCCCTCTGCCTCCCTCTTTCTGTGTCCTTTCCTAGTGTTCTTGAAAAGTAATCATAATCATAACAATTAAAAACAAGGGAGCTTGTGGCAGCTCTTAAAGACGCAGAGCCCCGCTTTCTCCTGGCAGAGCCGGTGGTCTCCCGGATGGGCCTTTGACGCCACGCCTTTGTTCCTGCGTCCCTCCCCCGCCCTCCAGCTGGGGTTGGAGGTTGCTGTTGGGGTGAGCGTTTTTGGCTGTGTTCTCCATCGGGCGCTGGGCTTTTCGTATTTTAATTGAACTGTCTTTTCTTAGAGATAGATGCTTTCACCACATCCAGCTGCTCCTGCGCATTGGGAAACCCGCTGCACTACAGCTCGGCGAAATTAAAAGACGCAGCAGCTGGACTGATTAAAGCTGGGGGAGGGGTGGGACACCGGTCATAGCACTTTCTCTTTTTAAATAATGTTTCTGGATAATGCATTTTGGAGAATGTGAAAAAAAAATAAAAGCTGTGGAAATGTTAATGATATCCACAGGACACTCTGCAGGAAATGAGAGCGATCTGGGACTAATAAAAGCTGAAATATAATTTGTGCAGATATACAAGGCGCAGCCTTCAGAGCAGGCCTGGGTTTGCGAATTCTGGGCTTATAAACACCACGCGGGAGGCAGGGGAGGGCAGAGCTCGGGTGGTGCCTCTGTCCGGAGCAGAGGTGGCTTCCACCCGCTGGCGCAGGTGTGGGCAGTGAGGGGAGGCGCCCAAGTGCGCCTGCCGGGGCAGGAGGGGCGCGCACAGGCAGTCTGGCGGGTGCCCTTCTCTGTGCCTTCCTGGCAAGGCCGGTCCAGAGGCGCAGGCCAGACCGTAGGCTGCTCCGCCGCTGCTGGGCTGGTGGGCTGCAAGGGGCACCCCGGCACGTCTGACCCAAGTGGCCGGAGATGGGATGGGATGGGTCGGAAGGGCAGGCACCGTGCTTGTTGTTGGGGCACCTGAGAGAATCCGGCCAGAGGCCAGGGAAGCTGGCTTTGCCACCTGTGGGCAGGAGCTCGCCCTGTGGGGGACGGGTCCCCTCTGGGCGGCGGCGGCCTCCATCCCCATGGTAGGGCCAGGCACCAGGCCACCCAGGGCCTGCCCTGTTCAGCCGGCTGGAGGCCCTCCCTGGTCAGCCCTCGACACTGAATGAGGAAGCAGCTGGGTAGGACCCTGGTGACAAGGAGGGCGAGCTGGGCCTTTTGGGGACAGTCCCTCTGCTCTGTCCCTTTCCCCTTCTCACATCTGTGTGTCTCCCTTGCCTGTGCCTCTTTCGTTCCTTCTGGTCTCTCTGGTAGCCCTGGAATCGTGTGGCCACGGCAGGCTACCCCTTCTCTTCCCATGTTGGAAACAGGGCCTGGAAAGCCCCCGTGCTCTCCCCGGGGCCTGGGGTGGGCAGGCCTGGCTGAGTCACCGCCTTCCGGCGCCCATTACCCTGCCTCCAGCCCCACCCCTGGCTGTGGGTGAACGCTGAGGCCCCGGCACTCCCCGTCAGGAGCGGCCCGCACCCCTCCCTCTGAGGGACTTCAGGGTCGGCCAGGCGCCCAGCTGGCCGAGGGAGCCTATAGCCTCGATGGGAGACACCAGCCAGTTTTGTGAATCTGGTGGTTCTGCCCCGAAGGGTGCTCACCCCCAGGGTCGTTTCTGGGCCCAGGGTCCTGCTCTGGGGAAGGGAGACACTGCTGGGCCCAGCCCTAAAATCATTAACAGGTGGCTGTGGCCTGGTGTGACCTGGCCCTGACCTGGAGGAGGCTGCCGGGCCTGCTGGGGGGCCAGGGCCGCTTCTCACCTGGAGGGACTGCGGTTCTGTCCTCCATGAGCATGTGCTCCCTCACTCGGGGCCACGCAATCTGCTCACGCACCCACGGCATCAAAAGTAGGAGGCAGGCGCCTTGACAGGGTGGCCCAGTCGGTGGGAGCATCGTCCGGTGCACCCAAGGATGCGGGTTCGATTCCCAGTCAGGGACAGGCCTTGGTGGCAGCGTCCATCCCTGGCCGGGGTGCATACCGGAGGCGACTGATGGATGTTTCTCTCTCCCCTCACCCCTTCCTCTCTCTAAAATCAATCATAGGAGACATCCTTGCGTGAGGATTAAAAAAGAAATAGGAGGCAGGTGCCACTGTCCTGCATCCCTGGGAGCCAGCGAAGGGGCTGTTCCATGCCTGCAGCGGTTCGCAGGCCCCCAGTCAACCTCTGCCAGAGGGGGCGGACAGGCCACAGGGGCACGGCAGTGACAGCAGAGGCGTGTGTGCACGGGGGGCGCGCTGGCCTGGGGCGGCTTCTCCGTGGCGGGGGCGGAGCGTCCAGGTCCCTGGCTCGGCCGGGTTGTGCCTGAGCACTGCCAAGCTGGGACCTGATCACAGCATCCGGCAACCCCCGGGGACGGGGTGTTGGAACTGCCCTGCTAAATGACTTGGAGCTCTCAGGAAAAGCCTGGGAGGGGTGGCGCAGGGACTGAGTGGGGAGCTGGCAGGCCAGGGGACCGGGCGAGGGGGTGGCCCCACCCAGGTGACCTGGAGCGGTGGGCAGCTGGGTGCATGTCTCCCTTCCGCTCCTGCTTGGAGGGCAGCCATCCTCGGCGAGGCGCAACTCTGTGGGAACCACTGAGTGCACCCCGTGCCGCAGGAGTTGTCAGCGTGTGCGAGGCTGGTGGGGAGGTTTTGGCAGGGGGCGCCTGGTAAGAGCCACGGGGAGAGGGCGGGGCGGGGCGGGGTGAGGGTGGCAGGCAGGCTTCCGAGGTGGAAGGACGTGGCCTCTGAACTGCCCTCCCTCGGCCTCCTCCCGGGCGTCCTCACCTCCCCACCCTGCTCCGCCCCCCTTGTCTCTTCACAGACAACCGGCCCAAGTCATGCAGTCTTTTCGAGAAAGGTGTGGTTTCCATGGCAAACAGCAGAACTACCCGCAGACCTCGCAGGAGACACCGCGCCTGGAGAACTACAGGCAGCCGGGCCAGGCCGGGCCGAGCTGTGACCGGCAGCGGCTGCTGGCCAAGGACTACTACAGCCCGCAGCCATACCCCGGCTACGAGGGCGGCGCCGGCACGCCCGCCAGCACCGCCCGGGCCGGCAAAGGCCTGCCCTCGCAGCAGGTCCTGCCGGGGAGGCCGGCGTTCTCCGGCTACGGTGTCCAGGACGGCAGCCCTTACCCAGGCCGCTACGCAGGCGAGGAAGGCCTGCAGGCCTGGGGGACCCCACAGCCGCCGCCCCCCCAGCCACAGCCCCTGCCGGGGGGCGTGGGCAAATATGAGGAGAACTTGATGAAAAAGACAGCAGTGCCCCCGGGCCGACAGTTCCCCGAGCAGAGTGCCCAGCTGCCCTTCCGGACTCACTCCCTGCATGCCCAGCCCCAGCCGCCAGCGCCCCCGCAGCCCCTGGCCTACCCCAAGCTCCAGAGGCAGAAGCTGCAGAATGACATTGCTTCTCCCCTCCCCTTCCCCCAGGGCAGCCCCTTTTCCCAGCAGTCACAGTCCTTCCCCACCTCCTCCACCTACTCCTCCCCCGGCCAGGGTGGCGGTCAGGGGGCCCACTCCTACAAAAGCTGTACGGCACCGTCCGCCCAGCCCCATGACAGGCCACTCACTGCCAGCACCAGCCTGGCCCCAGGGCAGGGAGTCCAGAGCCTCCATGCCTATCCGTCTGGCCGTCTCAGCTACAACCAGCAGAAGCAGCAGCAGCAGCAAGCTCTTCAGAGCCGACACCATGCCCAGGAAACCCTCCATTACCAAAACCTCGCCAAGTACCAACACTACGGGCAGCAGGGCCCGGGCTACTGCCAGCCGGACGCGGCCATCCGGACGCCAGAGCAGTACTACCAGACCTTCAGCCCCAGCTCCAGCCACTCGCCCGCACGCTCCCTGGGCCGCTCTCCCTCCTACAGCTCCACCCCGTCACCGCTGATGCCAAACCTGGAGAACTTTCCCTACAGCCAGCAGCCGCTGAGCGCCGGGGCCTTCCCTGCGGGCATCGCCGACCACAGCCACTTCATGCCCCTGCTCAACCCCTCCCCGACGGACGCCGCCGGCTCTGTGGACGCACAGGCCAGCAACTGCAAGCCTCTGCAGAAGGACAAGCTGCCCGAGAGCCTGCTGTCGGACCTCAGCCTGCAGAGCCTCACGGCGCTGACCTCGCAGGTGGAGAACATCTCCAACACAGTCCAGCAGCTGCTGCTCTCCAAGGCCGCCGTGCCGCAGAGGAAGGGTATCAAGACCCTGGTATCCAGGACCCCGGAGCAGCACAAAAGCCAGCACTGCAGCCCCGAGGGCAGCGGCTACTCAGCCGAGCAGGCGGGCACGCCGCTGTCCGAGCCGCTGAGCAGCACGCCGCAGTCCAGCCACGCCGAGCCACCCGAGGCCGACTACCTGAGCGGCTCCGAGGACCCCCTGGAGCGCAGCTTCCTCTACTGCAACCAGGCCCGCGGCAGCCCCGCCAGGGTCAACAGCAGCTCAAAGGCCAAGCCCGAGTCCGTGTCCACCTGTTCCGTGACCTCGCCTGACGACATGTCCACCAAGTCTGACGACTCCTTCCAGAGCCTTCACGGCAGCCTGCCGCTCGACAACTTCTCCAAGTTTGTGGCCAGCGAGCAGGACTGCCCGCGGCTGCTGCTGAGCGCCCTGGCGCAGGAGGACCTGGCCTCTGAGCTCCTGGGCCTGCAGGAGGCCATTGGCGAGAAGGCCGACAAGGCTTGGGCCGAGGCCCCCAGCCTTGCCAAGGATGCCAGCAAGCCGCCCTTCTCGCTGGAGAACCACAGCGCCTGCCTGGACTCCATGGCCAAGAACGCGTGGCCACGGCCAGGCGAGCCCGAGGCCCTGCCTGAGCCCTTGCAGCTGGACAAGGGCGGCAGCACCAAGGACTTCAGCCCGGGCCTGTTTGAAGACCCCTCTGTGGGCTTTGTCACCCCAGACCCCAAGAAGACCACGGGTCCCCTCTCCTTCGGCAACAGGTCCACCCTCGGGGCTGCCGCCTCAGACCCCAGCGCGGCAGCTTTTGACTGCTTCCCAGACACAGCCGCTGCCAGCGCAGCAGACAGTGCCAACCCCTTTGCTTGGCCCGAGGAAAACCTGGGCGATGCGTGTCCCCGGTGGGGGCTGCACCCCAGCGAGCTCACCAAGGGCTTGGAGCAGGGCGCGAAGGCCGCGGACGGCGTCAGCAAGGAGGATGCGCACGAGGCTTCGGCCTGCCTGGGCTTCCAGGAGGAGGAGCCCCCTGGGGAGAAGGCCGCCGTGCCCCGGGACGCCCAGCAGGAGGAGGCGGGCGGGGCGAAGGAGGAGACGGGCGGGCTGCTGCAGTGCCCGGAGGTGGGCAAGGCTGACGCGTGGCTGGGGGACAGCCGGCACTGCTGTTCTGCCGCCGACTTTGGGGACCTGCCGCTGCTGCCGCCCGCCGGCAGGAAGGAGGACCTGGAGGCCGAGGAGGAGTACTCCTCCCTGTGTGAGCTCCTGGGCAGCCCCGAGCAGAGGCCCGGCCTGCCGGACCCGCTGTCGCCCAAGGCCCCGCTGATGTGCACCAAGGAGGAGGTGGAGGAGGTGCTGGACCCCAAGGCCGGCTGGGGCTCCCCATGCCACCTCTCCGGAGAGTCCGTCATCTTGCTGGGCCCCACTGTGGGCACCGAGTCGAAGGTCCAGAGCTGGTTTGAGGCCTCCTTGTCCCACATGAAGCCTGGGGAGGAAGGGCCCAGCGGGGCCTTGGCTGCGGGGGACCCCGCCACACTGGCCCCGGAGGCCTCCTTGGCCCAGAAGCCAAACAAGCCTGCTGTTCCCGAGGCACCCATCGCTAAGAAAGAGCCCGTGCCACGTGGCAAGAGCTTACGGAGCAGGCGGGTGCACCGGGGGCTTCCGGAGGCCGAGGACTCCCCATGCAGGGCGCCGGTTCTGCCCAAAGACCTCCTGCTCCCCGAATCCTGCACAGGGCCCCCCCAGGGACAGATGGAAGGGGCTGGGGCCCCAGGCCGGGGGGCCTCGGAAGGGCTCCCCAGGATGTGCACCCGCTCTTTCACAGCCCTGAGTGAGCCGCGCACGCCCGGACCTCCAGGACTGACCACCACCCCTGCCCCACCAGACAAGCTGGGGGGCAAGCAGCGAGCTGCCTTCAAGTCTGGCAAGCGGGTGGGGAAGCCCTCCCCCAAGGCGGCATCCAGCCCCAGTAATCCGGCCGCCCTGCCCGTGGCCTCCGACAGTAGCCCCATGGGCTCCAAGACCAAGGAGACCGACTCTCCCAGCACCCCCGGCAGGGACCAGCGCTCTATGACCCTCCGGTCCCGCACCAAAGCCCAGGAGGCCTTCCACTGCAAGCGGCGGCGGCCCTCGGAAAGCCGGGTCCCTGCCTGCCGCGCTGCCAAGAAGCTGCTTGCCAACAACCACCTGCCTGCCGCGTTCACGGTCTCGAGCAGCCCCCAGAAGGAGGGCAGGGCCGGTCAGTGGGCAAGGGTCCCCAAGCCCAGCGCAGGCGGCAAGCTCTCTGACCGGCCCCTCCACGCGCTCAAAAGGAAGTCAGCCTTCGTGGCACCAGTCCCCACCAAGAAGCGGAACCTGGTCTTAAGGAGCAGTGGCGGCGGCAGCGGTGCTGGTGGCAGCCGGGGGGACGTGAAGGAGGAGGGGGCTGAGGGCTCCCCCACCCTCTTCAAGAGGATGTCTTCTCCCAAGAAAGCCAAGTCCACCAAGGGCAGTAATGAGCCCACCTTGAAGCCCCTGCCCCCAGAGGCCCCAGACACCTGTCTCAAGATGGCTTCACGGGTGGCCTTTCCGGGGGCCATGAAGACCAAGGTGCTGCCGCCCCGGAAAGGCCGGGGCCTGAAGCTGGAGGCCATCGTGCAGAAGATCACCTCGCCCAGCCTGAAAAAGTTCGCGTGCAAAGCGCCCGGGGCCGCGCCTGGGAACCCTCTGAGCCCGCCCCTCTCCGAGAAGGACCGGGGGCCCAAGAGTGCCCGAGGCAGCCCCGTGGGGGCAGAAGGGCTCCTAAATGTGGGCACCGGGCAGAAGTTCCCCGCAGCTTCAGGGACTGACCCGTTTTGCAGAAATACGGCCAACAGATCCTTAAAAGGCAAACTCATAAACAGTAAGAAACTGTCCTCGAGTGATTGTTTCAAAACCGAGGACTTCATGTCCCCAGAGGCCCTGTCACCTGGGGGGTCAGCCCTGGCGCCGAAGAAGAGAAGCCGGAAGGGCCGGGCTGCAGCCCTGGGACTCCCCAAAGGCCCCCTGGAGAAGCAGCCCCATCTGGGCCCCACGCTGCTCTTGGCTCCCCGAGACAGGGCCCACAGCATGCAGGGGGGCGGTGAGGACAGCTCTGGTGGGGGGAGCAAGAAGCCAAAGATGGAGGGGCTGGGTCTGGCCCCCCAGCCCCCCGACGGCCGGTCCTGCCAGCCCCAGGTGAGGGCGCAGAAGCAGCCAGGCCACGCCAGCTACAGCAGCTATTCCAAGCGAAAGCGTCTCACACGGGGCCGCGCCAAGAACGCCGCCTCCTCCCCCTGCCAGGGGCGTGCCAAGCGGCGGCGGCGGCAGCAGGTGCTGCCCCTGGACCCCGCGGAGCCTGAGATCCGCCTCAAGTACGTTTCCTCGTGCAAGCGGCTGCGAGCAGACAGCCGCACCCCAGCCTTCTCGCCCTTCGTGCGGGTGGAGAAGCGAGGCGCGTTCACCACTGTGTGCACTGTTGTCAACTCCCCTGGGGAGGAGCCCAAGCCCCCCCGGAAGCCATCCTCCTCGGCCTCCTCTTCCTCGTCCTCATCCTCCCTGGACGCAGCCGGGGCCTCCCTGGCCACACTCCCTGGGGGCCCCGTCCCACAGTCCCGGCCCTCTCTGCCCCTCTCCTCCACCATGCACCTGGGGCCTGTGGTTTCCAAGGCCCTGAGTACCTCTTGCCTTGTTTGCTGCCTCTGCCAAAACCCGGCCAACTTCAAGGACCTCGGGGACCTCTGTGGGCCCTACTACCCTGAACACTGCCTCCCCAAAAAGAAGCCAAAACTCAAGGAGAAGGTGCGGCCAGAGGGCGCCTGCGAGGAGGCCTCACTGCCCCTCGAGAGAACACTCAAGGGCCTTGAGTGCGCAGCTGCCGCCGCCACTGGAAAGGCCCCCAGGCCCGACGGCCCAGCTGACCCGGCCAAGCAGGGCTCACTGCGCACCAGTGCCCGGGGCCTGTCCCGGCGGCTGCAGAGCTGCTACTGCTGTGATGGCCGAGGGGACGTCGGCGAGGAGGTGGCCCCGGCTGCAGACAAGGCCCGCAAGCATGAGTGCAGCAAGGAGGCAGCGGCAGAGCCCGGCGGGGACACGCAGGAGCACTGGGTGCACGAGGCCTGTGCTGTGTGGACGGGCGGGGTCTACCTGGTGGCCGGGAAGCTCTTTGGGCTGCAGGAGGCCATGAAGGTGGCCTTGGACATGGTAAGAGGCCAGCCCAGGGGGGCGGGGAGCTCAGGGTCCCCAGGCCAGGCAGGGAGCCCCCTGCCGCCCCAGCACTTCCATTTGAGCCAAACACCCCCACAATGAGGACTTAGCACCTGAGGGGTTTGGGGGCAGCAGAAGCACAGCCCAGGCCGGGGCAGAGCCCCCTGGCCCTGGCCCGGACGTCCCACCTCGGCCCCTCGATGCGCCCCTGCCCAGTGCCCGCCGCGCACTCGCCTGGCACCTTCCAGCTCCAGGGCCCACCTGGCCCCCCGCCCACGTAATCGGCCGAGGGGCTGGGGTCCCACAGGACAAGAGACTTCCCAGAACTGATCGTCAGGGCGGCCCAGAGAAGGAGGCTGCCCCAGCTCGAGTGCCTCTGAGCTGGAGCTGGGGTCTTAGGGGACAAGCCCCTCCAACAGCAGGAGGCTGGACTGCACCCCCTCTGCGGGGTGGCCCCGGGGGCAGGATGGCCCGGGACCCTCGCGTAAACGGTCCTCAAATGCTGCTGGAAGGGCTTCAGGTGCGGAGGCCTGTGAGCAAGGATGGGAGCCGACCTCTCCGCCTGGAGCCCCGCCCCGCCCCGCCCCGCCCCTGGCTCGCCGTGCGCCGGCCATGGGGTGTCTTCTCTGTGCCTCTCTTTCCTCGTGTTAGTGCCCAGCACAGAGGGCCCTGAGGTCACTCCGGCCATGCCCGGCCTGTCTGAGTGCTGTTGGCATTCCTGGGCTGGAACTAGGGATCACGGCAGGAGCCGTGTCACGCCCCCCACCCCGTGCTCCTCCCACCTGGGCTACCTCGCGGCTTCCCTGCTCACACGCCGCCGCCGTCAGAAGGCACGGGGGACAGGGCAGTGGGGGTCAGCATTCCCGCCCTGAGCCCGTGCTCCTGGCCGCCCGCGCCCGGCCCCCGCACTCAGCCGCAGTTCAGTAGAGTGACGCGGTTGGGCACTGCGCAGGGCTGCCTGGCCCCAGCTCCAGGGACCCTCGCCCTCCCCTACTCGTCCTGCCTCCTGCTGCCTGCACACCTGCTCCTTTGCCGTGCCCCTCCCCAACCCCGCTCCTGCCACTCTGAGTGGCCCCCGCACTTACTGGTGGCTGCAGGGGCACCGTGGAAGGAAGGCTGCCGCCATCCATGCTGCCCGGGCTTCCCTGTGCCCCCCACACCGAACCTCCTACCGCATGGGGCCACTTAGAGCCGTCTCCACGCCCAGAGGCCCTGCCCAGTGGCCGCCGCCCTCTCTGTGGCCTGCAGACAGCCCAGCGCTCTCCCCTCTCCCCTTCTCAATTATTATTTGCCTCCTTCCTGCTGTCTCTGCTTTTTTCTGTGGTCATGAGCCGCTTCCCAGGCATCCTGGATTCGGGTCAAGTCACAGAACCAGCACGAGCCCTGAGCTCCTCGGCCCAGGGGGCTGCCCCGCCCACCCCACTGCTCCCAGCCTGGCCCCTGAGCCCGCCCGCCCTGCAGCGTGGCCCAGCATCTCCCGCCTCCTGGCCCCCGAGCCCTCTGTCCTGACACGCGTGTCCCGCCAACGGCAGCTCACATGGGGTCCGAAGGGCCTCCGGCCAGGGAGATGGCCCTGGGCCTTGCCGGGGGTCTGGCAGCCAGGGCCGGAGCCCCAGGGGCTTGTTAACCAGCACCCCACCGGAAGAGCATGCCGCGCCCACGGGACGCACCGGAGAGTCGGGCAGGGCCTGGGGCCTCCCAGGGTTGCCACTCAGCCCCCTCCTTCCAACAGCTGGGCCTCCCCTCAGCCGTCTGTCCCCACGAGGCCCCTCCCTGCCTCAGTGACAGCGTGCGCACTTGGAGTTGCACGGACCCTGAGCCAAAGCCCGGCTCTGCTGCGGGCAGGTTCCGTGGCCCCAGGCAAGTCGCTGCCCTCTGTGAGCCTCAGAGAGCCACCCCCCACCCCCACCCCAGCAGAGCGACGAGTCGGCCCAACGGTCTCCTTCTGAAGCCCAGGCGAGGTCCCGGCCGATGCCCGTCAGGCCTGCCGATGCACGGCCTCCTTCCTCCTCTCTGGAGGGACAGAACTGTGGACCCCCAGGGACCCCTTCCTTCTGTGTCCCCTCCGGGGAAGCCCCCCACACAAGCCGTCCTGAGCCCCGCCACACCCACCCCAGGACCTCAGTTTCCCAGCCTACCCAGCGTCCAGTGCTTGCCAGAGCCCTTGGGGGTCCAGGCCCCTCTGGTGAGGCCAGGCCCTGGGGGCTGAGGAGGCCGCAGCCTCTGCCAGCCTGGGACCCTCGCCGGCCTGGCAGGAGCGCGAGCCGCGCCCCATTGGTGCGGTGCTGAGGTCAGAAGGCCCTGGAGCGCCCATCTGTCTGTGCCTCTGTCTCTTCACACCCAGCAAGCCTCAAGGTTTGTTGGGAGGCCCCAGTGCAGGTGAGGCGGCAAAGAGCCTTTAACCGTGCGAACGCCTGAGGGCTGCCTGTGGGCGGCACAGGGCCTGTCTCCGAGCCGCTTCCTCTCCCCTGTTTGGGTTAGGAATGGGGGGGGCAGGGGGCATTGGGCCCCAGAGTCCCAGGGCATCTCAGCCCAGACCAGGAGGAAACTGCTTCTTCGGAGGCACTGTGTGAAAACCTGACATCCCAAAGGCACCCCAACCTCCCTGCCGGTGGCCTGGAGCGGGAGGAGCATTCCCAGGCGTCCGCAGGCTAGGCCTGTGAAGGTGGGAGGGCGCTTCCTCCCCGCCCGTGCCCGGCGGCCAGGACAGGGCCTCCCTCTGGTCTGGGGCCTGGAATGGAGCTGGCCAGCCCTGAGCAGCCTGGGCGCCCGCGGAGCTGCTGGCCAGCCGCTCGGCCTCTGGGAGCCCTCGTCAGTAACCGGCTGAGAGAACAGCAGTGCCAGCGTCGGAAGGTCGCCGCCGTCGTGAGGAGGCGGCTCCCAAGAGCGGCCAACACACCCTGAGCTCCAGGCATTTGTTCCAGGGCTCGGTGTCTGGGCCGGGACTGCCGCCCTCCCCACCTCCTCCAGGACGGCGCTCCCCCACCCTGAAGGCTGTGATCTGTGGCACTGGGGCCCGGCCTGTCTCCCCCGAGAGCCCAGGTCTTGTTTCCCTCTGTCGAGGGCCTTCCTGCCCTCCAGGCAGCTTGGGCAGGCGTGGGGCAGCCCCAAGCTCACAGACCACATTTTCGAGACCCAGAGGGGGCCGGCCACCCCATGCTGGACGGCATAAGATGGACACTAACCCAGCATCTGGGGTTGGCTGTGCCAACTCCGCCCCGGTCCGTGGGCGGCGGATGGCCCGCCTGAGGGTGGCCCGCCCAGCTCCAAGTAGTTAAGTGCTTGCTCTGCTGCCAGAAAGGGTAGGGAACACCGCGTGGTGGCCTCACTCCCGCCTGAAGTGTGAGTCTCAGTCCCGCTGTAAAGTGGGGTTTGTGACAGTTACCCGCCTGCCACCAGCGCTGTGTGGTGCCATCCGTGGGCAAGGACACGCCCCACGCATCCTGCAAGCAGAAGCCCCGCGGTTCCAGCTGGTAGCTGTGGCCTTCGAGGTGACGGGCACCAGGAGTCCTTGTCATCCGCTGGGCACACGACGTCTCCTTCAATACTCTGACCGTCCCAAGGGGACACGGTCTTGACGTGCAGCCGAGGCACGGAGAGTCCCAGGGCCCGGCCGAGGCTGCGCGGGGCCGGGGCAGAACCAGGGCAGGCCCAGGCCTATGGGGCGCCAAGGCCACAGCTTCGCCCACAGAGAACCCTTCCCACCCCTCCCTCCAGCCCCCCCGCCCCGGGGCGGCAGCCAGGACCACCACAGAGTCAACCTTGTGTGTGTGTGTGCCCCATTCAGAGTCTCCCAGCTGACTTTCAGGGACCGTCTTGTGGGAAGGGGACGGGGATCGCGAGGTGCCACTCCATGAAGCCCTCCGCCCAGCCCCTCAGGGGCAGGCTCACCCGCCTTTGCTCTTTCCTCTCCAGACCTGTTCCAGCTGCCAGGAAGCCGGGGCCACCATTGGGTGCTCCCACAAAGGATGCGTCCACACCTACCATTACCCGTGTGCCAGTGACGCAGGTAAGAGCCAGCCTCAGGGGACAGAAGGCCCCCTGGGGGGACCTGGGCACAGCTGCTTGAACCCTTGGCTTCCCCCCTCTTCTGCCCCAGCAACCCTTCGTTGACCAGAGCCTCTTCTGGGCAATGCTGGGGACCGGGAGGTTTGTCCCCAGCCTCCGGCCAGAGGGACCCCCAGATGCATGAATTACAAGATGGAGGGCGGCTGGAGAAGGCTTCACAGGAGTGAAAGGTTTTAACCAGGACTCAGTGATGCCTTATTTCATCTAAGGAAAGACCCTGTTTATGATGGAATTTTAGTCACCAATGAGAGTGGTGTTCAGGGGGCTCAGAGGCTGCTGTGGCCGAGATTCAGACCCAGGTGGCATCCCTGATAGGTGGACTTGGCACGTTCATGAACGTCTCTGTTCTTAGTTTCCCTGTCTCCGACAGAGGTTACTATAACCTCTCCTTTCCGGAGCTGCGGGGAGCGGCGCGTGAGATAGTGGACACCGCCCGACCAGGGCAGCCTCGGTCCCCCTCCCCCTGCGCCCCCTGCCTCCTCTTCTCTGGCCTGGAGGAGAAGAGGTTATCGTGCCCTCCTGCGGGGAGCACCCCCCACCTCCTGGGGACCAGCTGCCCCTCCTCTCCACCAAACGCAGGCCCTGCTGAGGCTGCAGCGACAGCTCCGCGCATGCAACCTGAGGGAGGGAGCTCGCTGGGGCAGGACAGAGGGGGCCTCGTTGGCCCCGGCCTTCCCCTCTGAGCAGCGTGAGTCAGATTTCAATGTGGACTCTGCCCTTGGATCAAGCCCGCGGCCTTACCCACAGCAATAGCTGCCGCGAGCTCCATCCCTCCCACAGCGACTCATGGAGCACCCGCTCCGTGCCAGGCCCCTGCACCTTCCCCACGTGCATCTTCACAGACGCGCTGCCTTGCCCGTGGCCACAGAGCACGGCACAAGCAGAATGAGAGTGAGACTCCCTGTCTGTCTTGCTCCACATTGTGTGTTCTCCCTTCCGCCCACTACTATCCAGCCCCTTGAGAGGCTCACATTTTGAGTGTGGCACACAGGAAAACCTTGGTCCTTGCCCCAAATTACAGAGACTAGAAAACGGAGAGTGTGTGCTGTGGGAAAGATTTGTTCTGTCTGAGCTGGCAGAGAATCCAGGAGGACTTTCAAGAGGAGGCAGTACTTGAGCCATACTTGCAAAGGCCCGGGAGGCAGGCAGCAGCCAGTTCGTGGTGGGATGTGTATACCAGGCTTGGAGCCCCAGAACTTTCGTTTCAAATGACGTCTTCCAAGGAGTTCAGTAAAAGGTGTCTCCACAGAGCACCAGGACTGAGGCTCCCAGGGGACCTGTGGGCTGGGGAGATCAGACACTGGCGTGAGCAGAGCTGTGTTTGAGCGAGAACCGATGGACACTGCAGGGATCCGGCCAAGAGAGGAGGGTGGCCAGGGCCCGGGAGAACCTGCACCCTAGAGGTTCGTGGGCAGAGAATGCACAGCCACAGAGGGAGGGAAGAGGGAGAGGGCATTGCGCCCGAGCCCGTCCCCCGCCGGGCGAGCAGGTCCGAGCTGGGGCGCCAGCAGTGTGTTCGCCGCTGTCGCCGTGCTGCTGGTCCCGGGCCCAACCTCATGGCTAAACACCCACCCTTTGGTATTTCTCAGAAGGGTGCGAGCCCGCTGGCAGGCCGTCCGCTGAGCTCACGCAGGTGGCCGTGGTCTGCTGTGGGTCCGCGGAGGCAGGACCACCCTGGGCCCCGGCCGGGCCAGCTCCTCCCTGCTCCCTGTGGCCTGTCATCTGCCAGCAGGCCTCCGCGTGGGACTGCACGGTCCCTGTCACTGTGTCCTGCTGGCCAAAGCAAGGCTCCCCTCCAGCCCCAATTCACAGGCAGCAGCTGCCCACCTGCTGGCGGCGGGAGCTGCAGAGACGCCACATGCAGGCAGGGGCATAGGCAGGGTGTCGAGGCCGCTCCGGCGGCCCCCCCATCCCCCCAGCCCCCGCCACGGCAGCTTCCCTTTGGGCAGGCCGCCGCGGAGGCAACGGCAGCCGCATAAGGGGAGCTGTCCCAGCCGGGCTCAGGCCAGAGACGAATGGCCATCGGCCCAGGGGTCATCAGGGCCCAGGGGACAGTGTAGGGGGATCGGGCACCACCATTTAAGAGTTGGCAGAGGAGAAGCGGGTGGGGCCTGGGACACCCGAGAAATAGCAGCCAGAGAGGAGGGGGACAAGGGAGCCTGGCAGCCCCCCAAGGAGAAGGCAGGCAGGGCTCAGGCAGCAGCTCCAGCAGGCGGGAGGGGCTGGGGGTGAGAGGGAACGGGCGAGCGAGCTGGGCGGGCCCGGGAGCCAGGCCTGCGTCGGTGCCGCACGCCTGCCCTGGCCCCGGGTCTGCCAGGTGGGCCCTGCCAGTGCGGCATCCTGGCCCATGGACCCTGCCCCCACCCCTCCTCATTAAGGAGCGCCACGTCGGAGCCAGGCAGTGACTCCGAAGGGCTGGCGGGGACAGGCACCCGCCGCAGCCTCCTTCCCACACTCGGGCCCCAGGGCCACCTTGTTAGCTGGGTCCCAGGCCCTGCTGGTGCAGACTCCAGGAGAGGGGCCGGGAACCGATGACTCGGCTCTACACAGGGGCTCACCCGGCGTGGATCCTGGGGGATTGCTGAGGGAGCTGGGTTTGGAAGGGGTGACCTCTTACCCGGTACTTCTGGCGACTCAGGCTCCTGACTCTCAGGCCTGTAGCAGGGTGGCCTGTGGGTGTGGGCATTGGGGGGGTGTGCGTCCTCTGTGTGCTGTGGGTGAGCCTGGGGTGGTAGCCCAAAGCTCTTCGGAAACTGTGAATTCAGTCCCAGAACCATGTCTGGCTTGCTGAGCTCAGGGAAGGGGAAAAACCGATGATCCACTTCCAGTTGCTGGCCCTGAAGCGCAGGAGCCTGTGGCCGGCTTCAGGGCTGAGGCCCCAGCTTCTGGTGGGGCGGGGGGCGGGGGGTGCAGTGGAGAGAAAGGAGACACCCTCCGAGAGGCCTGGAGCTCTCCCGCCCTGCACTCCAGGCTGCAGATTTGCCCCGGCAGCCTCCCCACCCTGCCTACTAGCCACCACGCTGCCGCGGTGCCACAGCACAGAGCCACTGCCCAGGGCCGCTGCTGCTGCCACAGCGTGGGCAGGCGGACTCTCTCTGGCTGTTTGGGCTTCAGGGTTTGCTCTGAGCCTTGTCAGATGAGGCAGGGGTGGGAAGGGAGTGGGCCCAGGACGCGGCTCTGAAGCAGGGGGCGGGGGGGAGCGGGCGGCGCAAGGGCAAAGGCCGGGGTCGTCTTCAGTGCAACAGGCAGGGAAGTGGGGGCTCACTGAGACATCAGTGCACCCCAGGCCTGAGGTGGGCATCGAGGACAGGCCATGCTCAGCTGTCCTCTCTGTTCCCCCAGCGGGGTGTGCCCCGAGCCCTCAGATACCTGCGCCCATTTGCTCAGACCCTGCACCTCCGTCCACTTGCCTAGTCACACCTCCCGCACGCTCAGGCCGCCTCCCCTCGGGGCCTCACAGGAACCAGTCCCTCTCCACACAGGTGCGATGGTTCACAGACACCCTCCTCATCAGGGCCCACAGTGGACACACAGTAGGCGGCAGAGTGCCCGAGTGACAGAAGTGGAGACCCAGGCTCAGAGAAGTAGCTGGTGCTCGAACCCAAGCCGGTGACTGCACTACCCAGTCCGTAAACGTTGGTTCAGTGAGCTCCTTCGGGGGCTGGCACGCACCCAGGGAGAGGCCGGAGCTGTCACCCCGCGCCGGCCTCCCCAAGGGGCAGTGGCGCTGGGCACGACAGCCGCGCAGAGCGTCCTAGCAGGCAGCGACCGGCGCGGCAGGGGGCGGGGGCGCCCGGGGCAGGGGCCCGCCACCGCCGGGGCCTGAGAAGGCCTGCCAGTGACAGGAGTTCCCGGCGGGCAGGCAGGCGAGGGTGCAGCAGGCCGGGCCGGAGCGCAGAGGCAGGCGGAGGGACGGTGGAGCTCGCTTGGGTCGGACTCCTGCGGCGCAGCGCCCCCGCTCGACTCCCACCCCAGGCCCCGCCGGAGGCCAGCAGCAGCCCTAACCGCACCCACTTCTCTCCGGTCACAGGTTGCATATTCACCGAAGATAACTTTTCTTTGAAATGCCCCAAGCATAAGGTAGGTGACCACAGGCCTCCCCAGGAAGGGGTCTAGGCCGTAGAGGGGCCCTGCCCACCCCGGGCCAGCACTCGCTGGTCCCAGAGGCCGCTTTAGAAACCCGGCAGGTCCCGCGGGAGGGGCCGTCCCAGGCAGGAGACAAAGGGAGCACAGGCAGGGGCGCGGGACGGCGGTCACGGGGCCAGGACAGCAGAGGCCTGGCTCGGGGCCAGCGGCCTCCCGCGGGACCCCCACCCCGCCCCCCGCCCTGCGCTCGGGAGCCCCGGGTGGGCGGGGCCTGGGGGCAGCGGGTCGCGGGAGGGTGAACCGCTGCCCGGCGCGGGCCTCGTGTGACGCGGCGCTCGGGTGTATACTCTTCTCCTGCAGAGGCTTCCATTGTAACCCACCCCGGCCGCAGGGGAAGCCGCCGGAGCCGCCCGCCCTCCCGCCGAAGGAGAGGGGTCGTCTGTACAGGCCTTTGAGCAGCTCCCAGAGCCGATCCAGGATCCAGACCCGGATCTTGGACTGGCTGCCTAGGGCTGAACCGTGCGGTCCCTGGTTGGGAAGAAAACACGTTCCGGAGCCACTGCTCCCGGAACTGGACAACACAGCGTTTCTGCCCACACCCCTGGGCCAGGCTTGGAAAGGGGGAGCCCACAGAGTGGCCAGACTCCTTGGGGTACCCAGGTTCTGACAGGGGTGGGAGACTCTTTAGCCTGGGCACAGCTTCTCCACTGGAAGTTCCAAATCAGTGTGGCACACGTTGCACGGGGGTGCTGCCAGCAAACCCTTCCGGCTGTGACATGCAGCTGGGCGCCCTGGGGATGGGGGTCCAAAGGGCCCTGGTAGTGGCAGAGGGCGGCTCCTAGGAGGAGGAGGGGCGGGGGCGTGGGGGGGCAGCTGGAGCCGAAGCCTTTCTGGAGACGGCTGGGCCAACAGGGGAGTGGGCCAGAGGCTTTGGAACAAACCCCTCACGATGCTGGGACCTCCCATTCAGAACCTTCATGCAGTTGGGGCAGAGCCAGGGGAGTCTGGGGACGGGCTCAGGGGATGCAGGCTCCCGGGTATTACAGGCTGGACCGGGCCCCTCCTGTTTCTTCCTTCTCCAATGCTCTGCCCCACCCCTGGAGCCAGCCTGGGAGCGCAGGAGCCTGGACCCGGAACCGCCCCTGCAGACCATCTCTGCCGGGCCGCAGTCGCCAGGGACTGCCACGCCTCCTGGCCCGCAGCGGAGACCGCGCCAGATCCGTGTACAAACCTGTGTACCCCTCTCTATATGTTGCATAGAATGTACATATGTTGGGAACATGCTCGCTTCTGCTGTGTGTCGCTGCCGTGCGTCGTGCACTCTTCAGCACCAGGCCCTTGTGGGGAAGGGGACCACAGCCAGGACGCCCCTCCCCGCGTGGCCGCCGCCAGCCCAGGCCAGTCCCTCCGCCAACCTGTCTGTGGCCTCAGCTCTGTGCCTCGATGGGCCTGAGGCAGCCCCAGCCGGGGCACCCTAGCAACTTTCTGTACATATGACTGTAAAATGGTAAACGTGTGTATTATATCTGGCTTCGTTATATAGTGTATATATATGTATACATATACATATATATAATATATATGAAGACTGTAAATGTTAAGACTAGTGTTCTTATTAGTATATTGCTTCACACTGAAGATTGTGTGTATCGAGCTGTTTCTAAAAGATGTTTATTTTCCTTAAGAGTAAAAAACAGTCATTGCATTCAGAAAAAAAGTCAATAAAGATACGATTGTTTTGGAAGTCTGCAGCCTGTGGATTCTCACCAGATTCCGCTGGGAAAGGGGCCAGGCTTTAGGTGTGGGATGGAAATGGAGGGAAAGCTCAGGGGACACAAAAGGAGTCAGGGGTCCTGGCAGTTAGCAGGGACAGGGACCAAGCCCCTGCTGCAAAACCAGAGCCCCTGTCCCGCCAGCAGCCTCAGGCCGGAAGGGGGTAGAGGGCTTCCTCAGGTGTGAGAGCTGGGTGACCGGAGGGCGGGGTGCGGCAAGGTGAGACCGACCCTCCAGACACACGGGGGTGCCAGGTTGTAGCTCTTGTCAACAGACCCTTAAGGATACTTGAGTTGTCCTCCGTGTCCCCCTGGGAGCAGGCGGGAGAAGAAGCTGGGAGGTGAGAGAAGACAGCTGAGGTCAAAAGGCCCTCCGGGTGCGGGGCCCAAACGTGGGGCTCCCGTGACATCAGGCAGGCGGCGTCCAGGCCCTCACGGCAGCGCCATGTCGGGGAGCGGCACAAAGGACCCCCTCGGGTTCGCAAGCACCTCAGCTGAAGCACACACCCTCCCCAAAGAAATAAAACCCAGATTATAAATAATTTCATTTTTTATTCTCTGTACAAAACTTCTCAACCTATGAAAATAAAGTTTGCAAAAGGCAAAGTAACACTTGGGCCTCAGAGGCCAGGAGGCTGCGCACCATCATCTACACTATGTACACATCTCTCCGGAAGGCAGAGGTGCCTTGGGGCAGGGTCCCCGTGCTGGCCAGAAAAGCCAGGTTGGCCCCTCCATAGCTCAGGGACACGTACCCCATATCATCCCTCTCAGCAGACGGAAAAGCCACCCACTGGGTGCCCGCAAAGAGGTGACAGACCGGCCCAGCCCCTGCGATCCCTCGGTCGGCCACTAGAGGTCAGCACCATCCCGGCCGCTGCTCATCAGGTTGGGGAGCGGGCAGGGGTGGTGGGGTCGCTCCCCTCTGGCCTCCCAGAGCAAGGGGCAAAAGCCGGAGGAAGTCCCATTCCCCGCCCCGCCCCCCTCATGCAGTGCAGTCCGTAGGTGAATCGTGGACACTGGGGTCTCTGGCACTGTCTTCGGCTTTGGAGGCTCCAGCCCATGACACAGCCAGAAGGCGCCAAGGCGGCCTGTAACAGGGGCACCGGAGCCGGACTGCCGGCGGGGGTCTAACTGGAGGCGACGGTGGTCCCGCCGCCCAGGCGCAGGAGCATCTGCTGGCAGTCGTGCAGCAGGCGGCGGTCACCGAGCTTCTCGAGCATGCGCTCCGCCTTGGCCAGCATGCCCACGCGCTGCCCGGGCGCCGACAGGAAGCAGGGCGGCAGGTAGCAGGCGGCCAGCAGCAGGGCCTCGGCGTGCTCCCGCCGCGTGGGGCGCGGCTCTGGCTCCGCCTCGCCTGTGGAGAGGCGTGTCAGGGGCGGGGTGCGGGCGCCCTCAGACCCCTCCCAGGGCGGACACAGAACAGACTTGAGACGCGTGTGCACAGCGGCTTATCCCACAAATGGCAGTCACCTCACTGGGTTCTCAGAACAGCACTGCAAGCGCACCCCCCCTTCTCTGTTACACCGCGGCACCCTATCCCGCGGTCCCACACCTGGGTGGGGGAGAGGAGGCTGCACCAGCGCCCCCACACACCCCTGCAAGGACTGGCACCCCTCTCACCTTTGCCACTGGAACCTGCCCTCTTCCTCAGACTGCGGTCCAAGAGCTGCTGTGTCCTCGTGGGGCTGGCCCCCGCCATCAGCCGGGCGGTGGCCTCATGGAGGAACACCTGGGCAGGAGGGGCCAGGCAGGTCAGGGGTCAGGCCAGGCCCCCACTCGCTCCCCACACCAGCTGCCCCACGTCCCCACTGTGAAGCGAGGGGCCCGTGGGCACTCACCCTCCGCATGGCAGGCTGGCAGCTCTGTGCCAGACGCCTCAGGCCACGCAGATCCCGCTGGAAGCCACGCAGCTCGAGGGCCGAGGCCAGGGCTCCACTGCCGGGGCCCTGCGAGGCCTGGGCTGGTGCAGAGGACTGCTGCCGTAGCCACAGACTCGTGCGCGCCGCAAGGAGCAGGTCACACAGGAGCAGCTGCATGGCCTGGAGGTGGTGGGCAGGGCAGGGGTCACGGCGGGGGCTCCAGCCTGGGAGGGGCAGGGTGGGGGCCTGGGGTGCCAGGGGCCGGCTCCGGGCTGCACTGCCGAGGCACTGCACCCACCTCACACACATGCAATGCAACAGCAATGCACCTCGGGGCCGCCCACCTCTCCAGGCCCCCACACCCACCACCTGCCGAGGTTGCAGCCTGCAGGGAGGGCCCCACCACGCCACCCGCCGCACTCTTCCTCGGGCCGGGGGTGGGGCTTCTGAGGCTAATCCGTGGTAACCACTGTCCACCGGACCCAGACCTCGTCCAGGGAGCACAGCTGCTGGGCCCAGGCCTGTGCTGCCAGGCTAACCCCAGGCTTCCGCAGCCCGTGGGGGAGTGACCAGGGAGTGGAAAGGCGGCAACCCTGCGGACCTGCCAGCCCCTGGCTCCGCCCCTCACCTTGTCAATGGAGATGCCCACTGGTGTGGCAGCCAGGCTGTCCTGCAGGTAGCCACTGGCCTTCTCACAGATGGCCAAGCAGGCCGGGCCCGACTCTGCCTTCCCACGGCCCAGCAGCGCCCGGGCAGCCTTGAAGGAGTGCAGAGCTGCCCTGGGCAAGGGTCTCCTGTTGGGGCCAGGGCAGAGGGGCGATGGTCAGACCAGGCCGCAGGCCCTCATGAGCTCCCACTGCCCCGGTTCCAGCTTCAAGGCAAAGAAGGGGTGGCGGTCCCAACCGCACGGAACAAGGCGCGTGCAGGGCAGGGTGCTGGGCCAACCTGGCTGGCACTCACTCGGATGCCTGCAGGGCCCGGGGCAGGTGCTCCACCAGCGGGTACAGCCGTTCTGCTGCCTCCTGGTCCCGCCGCAGCCAGTGGGTCACCACAGCTATCAGGGAGGCCCACCACCTGGCCACTGGGTCTGTGCCTGCAGGGGGCAGGGGTGCGGACAGGAGCGCTCCCTGAAGCTCGGCCACACCGCCCCGGCGGCCGAGCCGCTGTGGAGCAGGGGCGGAGCGGGCAGCCACAGGGCAGGGGGCCTGGGGCTCACCGGTGGCGGCGGCCATGCTGGAGCTGACGGAGACGCTGCAGGCTGGAACCCCGGCCGCATCTGAACAGCTGTTCAGCAGCTGGAGGTACCCGAGGGCGTCCGAGAATTCCCTGTGGCAGGAGGGGCTGGCTGTGAGAACAGGTGGCAGGGGTCCTAGGGGTCCTGGGGGTCCTGGGCGTCCTCGGAGCACAACGGCCCCTCTCACCTTCCCACCGGAGCAGAGCCCAACCTCCTGGCTCTGTGGAGCGGCATAATCGCCTCGTGCCAGGCTGGAGGGGACACTGAGACCCAGAGCGGGGCTGAGATTTATCTATTTGAGGCCACACAGCAAGGGGCCGGTCGCCTGGCTCTGGCCACCTCCACAATCCTCAGACATGGCCATTCCCAGACCCTACCGTGGAGGGCTCTTGCCTCATGGGGAGCATGGGAACACTCACCTGTCCCCGTCAGCTGGTGCGGGGCCGGGCTGGGTTACACAGGTCAGTGCTCGCTCCAGAAGATGTTCTCGGAACAGCCGAGTCACCTGGGCCAAGGGGTCCACTGTGGGGAGGAGTGGCTGAGCGGGAGGGACCCCCACCCTCCACGTTCCCCTCTCCACACCCAGGGCTCCTTCCCGGCGTCCCGGGCCCACGGGTGGGCTTGGCTCTGGGACAGACACCAGGGGGTGAATAAACACCCTCGCCCTGCCCTTGGGGTAGCCAGCCTCAGAGGGTGTCACCCACTCCACGCCGGCCCCCGCCGGCTCTGTCTTCCCCGTCCCACCTCCTCACAGCACAGCGCTGTCGCCTGGGGGCACCTCCCAAATCAACCACCGGCCCCCAGATCCCTGTCTCTGCTTCTGAAGAGCCCTAATCGGGAGAGACCCAGTCCCCAAAGCAACAGCAGATGGCCAGGCAACAGATGGGGGTGGGCAGGGACATTCAGAGATGCAGGGGACAGGGATGGGGCCGGGGTGAGGAGGGGAAATAGAAACGGAGAACCAAGGCTGAGGCAGGGCACTGGGAGGGGCGGGGGAGGGGCCGGGGAGGGCACAAGGGCGAGAAGAGCACCTGGGTTGCTGGCCGAGCTGTACAGGCTCTCCCGGGGGGTGCTGCTTGCAACCCAGTCCCCATCCACGAAGAAACGGTGGCCCACAGGGTGGCACAGCCACTGCATGGCAGGCGGCACTGAGCCACCGTGTGCCAGGCAGGCCTGGCGGGCGCTCCTCAGGAAGAAGTGCTGTGGGTGAGGGGAGGTGGGCTGTCACACTGGACCCAGGCGGGCGCTCAAACCCCGACCCTGGCCTGAGGCCCCAGGGAGGCCCAGAGCCCGCCCCGTGACCAAGGACCTCAGGCTGGGCAGCCCCTTCCCCAGGAGCCACTGGTCAGAGCTACAAAGCCAGGCCCCCAGACCCATCCCCGCCGGCCTGCCGCCCACTCACGGTCAGGAAGTGCAACGCCCGCGGGAGGCTGGTCTTGACCGTCAGCGCAGCAGCCACGTAGACCTCGGCCAGCGTGGCCGCAGGCAGGGTGTCCCCTGCACACTCGGCCAGGTTCAGTGCGCTCAGCGCCAGGGTGGCGGCAGCGAGATGTCCCCCTGGGTACTTCCCTGGAACAGAGAGAGGGCGTGAGGCGGGGGTGCGGTCCGGGGGCAGCAGAACCCCTCGGCCCGGTCCCGCCCATCGCACCGGTGGCGTGGAGCTGCTGCAGCTTGTGGTACACGAGGGCCGCCTCGCGGGCACTGGCACGGGCATCGGCCTGCAAGGCGCCGTCCCCCGGCAGGCCCCCGGCCCGGCCCGCCAGCCAGCGGCCGACCCAGAGGCGCTGCAGCAGGTGGCGGAGAAGGTTCCAGAGCAGGCTGCAGGCCAGGTCCAGGCAGGAGGCGGGCGGGGGCCGGCCCAGCGCTTGCAGGGCCAGCCCCAGCTGCTGGGCGGCCTCGACGAAGTCCCCCTGCGGGCGGCGGTTTTCTGGGTGAGGCAGGGCCAGAGCCCCTCGAGCACGTGCCACCCCTGCAGCTGGGGCTCCCCGCCACGCCCCCAGGGTCCCCCTGCAGCACTGAGCTGGGCCCCCAGGGCTCAGTGGGAGACAGAGCAACAGACGAGAAAGGAAAGAGCAGGGCAGGGTCGTGGTGCCCGAGAGCAGGGGTGAGCACTGATGCCGAGCACCCTCTCGGGCGCCCCCCAGCTCTGCCCTTGCCCCCCTCCGCCTGCCCAGGGCCCAGCCCCTTACCCTGGCCAGGTCCAGGTCCGCCTGCCGGCGGTGCCTCCAGAAGTGCATGGCAGGGCCCGAGTGGGGCCGCGTGACGGGCTCTCCGTAGACAAAGAGAAGCGCCAAGGAGGCCAACACCAGCAGCCCGTTGGTCAGCCAGACCAGCGGGGACGCGAGTCTTGGTGCCCAGCCAGGGCCATCTGGGGGTGGACAGCAGGGCTGGGGACACAGTTCCCAGGAAATGCAGAGCCCGAGCCCACAGGCCTAGGGCCTACACCTCCCAGTGTCCCCCCACCCCGCCACCTCTCTGCCAGGGGTCTCCACGCTGACCTGTCCCGCCTCTCTCTTCGGCCCCCAGCACGTTGCGCCCAGAACCCTGGTGGATGCTGGTGGCGTCCAAGGGGCCAGGGAGACCCCAGCTGCCCAGCAGGGAGGCCAAGGGGTTGCAAGAGAGACAGAGGAAGACGAGAGCGCACAGGGCCAGGCGGGAGCGGTCCAGCATGCCCCGGCTGCGGGGGGGCGGCAGCAGCTCTGGCTTCCCCTGCTGGGGGTGGGGAAAGGCGTAAGGACAGAGCAGGGTGGCCCAGAGCCCCGCTCGGGGGAGGGGGGACTGGCGCGCTGCCCACCCTGACTGTGGGGCCTCCCTCCCGACCCAGGCCCAGCGCCCCGAGAGACAGGAAGGGCCACGCTGCAGGTCCCGACCTGGCTGTCCTCGAAGGCTGGGCTGTCGGTCTCTGAGTCACTGCCGCTGCCACCGCTGCCACCGCTTCTGCTGCCAAGGGACAAGGGGCTGCTCTGGGAGGGCGAGCCTGCGTCTGAAGGCGGCGGGCTAAGCGTGTCTACCACCTCAGACTTTATGCCCTCCATGGGCAGGTCAGAGTGTCCACCGCTGCCACAAGTGGACACCAGGTCCTTCACAGATTCTATAGGAAGGAAAAGAGCAGGGCTGGGGGTTAGGCTGGAGACCCCCCCCACCCAAATCAACTGAGGGCCATGGAGAGGGGAGGGGAGCTGCCCCAGCTTCGGAGGGCCGGTGCAGGGAAAAGGAGGAGCTAAGAGGCCTTGCAGGGTCAGAGCTCAAGGTGAGACCCAGGGTGGGGCAGGGTGGGAGTCAGGGCCAGAACCATAGGCCATGGGAGGCCAGGACTCACTGCTTTTGTGGGCAGCAGTACGCAGACTCAGGTTCTCCTGCTTGAGTCTCTGGTTGCTCTGTTGTAGAAAGCGAATGTAGTCGATGGCCTTGCGCAAGACAGCAGATTTATTCAGCTGCAGGAGGTAGGAGGGAGACAGCACAGGTTGCCTGTCAGGCTCGGCAAGTGGGCATCCAAGCAAGCGGGGTGGGGGGGCGCCTCTTTGCAACACAGCTGCCTCAGGACCTTTGCACCTGCTGTTCCTTCTGCATGGAATGTTCCTCCCCTAGTACCTTCCTCACAGCATGGGTGTAAGGGTTAATATGTGAAGTGCGCACTCCACCACCTAACAGCCCTTATCATCAGCATCTTCCTGTCTCGCCTCCTTCAGGTCTGCTTTCTGCTGTGTCGCTTTGCAAGGCTCCTCCCCGGCCACCTGATTCCGATGTGCCACTCTCATCATCCGTCCGTCTCCCTGCTTTCTCTTCTCCCGCAGCACTTAAAACTGCCTGGAAGTCGCCACCCGTTCCTCATCTATCTTGTTTATTGCCGTCCCCCCAGCTGGAACCTCGGTTCCTCACAGGAGGATTTTTGCCTGTTTGCTCACTGTTTACCCCCGGGGCTTAGAACAGCCCCAGGGGCCCAGGGGCCTCTGTAAAGTGTCGCAGAGGAGGAGAGCCGACCAGGTCTGAGCAGATGGGAACCCGGGGCCCTGCCTGTCTGGGCCCAGCCCAAGTCCTTCATCCCCTTCCCGAGGCTGCCTTCCCTGGAGTCGCCCCGGTGTGTGCCCACGCAGGCCTGTGCCCGCACCTTCGCCTCAGTGCCCACCACCAGGTCCTTGAGCTCGATGATCTTGTCGTTGATAGAGGAGCGGTAGCGCTTCTCAATGGCATTGTGGGCTGTGCGCTTCTCGCCACGGCTCTGGGCCAAACCCGGGGCCTTCCCACTGGCCGCCAGGCGATGGATGGGCAGCTTGTCAGTGTCCACTACCAGCGGCATGGTCGCCAGGATGGTCCCACAGCTCACCAGGGTCTACAGAGCCAAGTGCACATTACCAGGCAGGCACGCACATGCACAGACCCCACACCCCTCCGCCCTGCCCTGCTACCCGCCTGCAAGGGCCCAGTGTGCACGGCTGGGCCAGGGGCCAGAGAGCCGCCACCTGCCGCCTGCACTGGGGCTCCCGTGTCTGTCTTCATGGCTGCCAGGAGCAGTGAGTCCGCCTTGATGAAGTGGGGCTGCAGCAGCACCTGGGGGCGGGGAGGTCTCAGCTGTGGGCTCTGTGTTGGGGCCAGGAGCTGCCGCTCCCCAATGTCTGGACGGCCCCCCTTACCGGGACCTGCTGGATCTGCGAGGTCACACTGTTTGTTCCAGGGGCCACTGCGGTGGTGGTGGTGGCTGTCAGCAGTTGCTGGGGGCCTGGACTTTGAACCTGGGTGTGCAGGGAGGTGGGTGCGGCCGTGGGCAGGCCAGGCGGCGGTGGTGGAGTGCTCCCTGGAGGGGTTCCTGCAGAGATGAAGTCTGGGGCTGTGGGTACAAGCTGCCCTGACTTGCTGTCGACCTACCCTCAGGTCTCTGTCACGTGTGACCTTGGATGAGTCATTACCCGTGTGGCTTCAGTTTCCTATGCCGACACCCCCTTCCTGGGGCTCTGATGGGAATGTGTCAGCTTTCCAGCCAGGCGTGTGTCTGTGGACGGGCTGACCCGCCGTGGACACCCCAGCAGAGTGGGAGGCAACGCTTAACCCAACAAGCATGCACGTGCTGCTAGTAATGGGGGGCGTCTCAAGCAGCAGAGAGGAGACAGCTTTCTGACACCTGCAAATTCCTCTATGAAGATCACAGAGGACCCTCCTCCCTGGGCTCCTGCTGTCCCCCTCCCTGCACACACTCCCTTACCTGTGGGAAAGCCTCCGGGAGGGCCCAGGTAGCCCAACACAGGGGCAGAGCGGCACTGAACTGGAAAGTTCGGCGGCAGGAGGGCCCCCGGCAGGGGCTGCGGGGCGGAGGGTTGCAGGGTGGTCAGAGGCACTGGCTCCTCCTTGATACCAGGCCCAGGGGAAAAGGCAGGTGCAGAGGGGCAAGTCTTCAACGTGGGTGCAGGCTGGGGAGGGGACAACAGTGGAGGTATTGCCTTGGGTCCCCCCAGAAGGCCTTCAAGTGGGGAGCTCATAGTGGCATGTGGTGGAGACAAGCCGCCCAGGGAGCTGGTTTCAGGACTGGCGGGGTCCGTGCCCCTTGCTCTGCCCCCAGCATATGGCGGGTCAAACAGGCCGGCGAAGTCGCTGTCTTGGTTGTTGATGAGCTGAAGCATGTCTGGGGAAAGGAGAAGAGGCTGCGTGAGCGACTGTGGGGCCTGCAGAGCTGGCCCTGGGAAAGGCATCGCACGTTTGCACACCCCTTGTCCACGCTGCTATCCCCGTGCAAGCCCATGCTCCCAGACACACAGCCATTTCTCGGGCACCTGTGACACCTAGTAGCAATGCCTAGTGCTTCACGTGTTATCAGAAAGCCCTTGCAACAATGGCAACAATTAGATAAGATCAGTGCCATGCCGGGCCACGGCACCACACATAGGCTGGGGCTGGGGCCCAAAACTGCCGACGTAAGAGCCCTTACTAACCCATTACTCCGCGGAACAGACCGAGTCTCGGGGCAGTCAGCTGCTGGCCATGTGTGTGCCAACCCGTGTGTCTCTGCAGGCTCTGGGCACAAGCCCAAACTCTGTCTGTAGCCAAGCACACTCGGGACCTGGTCATTCAGGCCTTCGGTTTCCCCTCCATAAAAGCGAATGTTGTCTATCCTGACTCCTTCCTCCTTGTACAAACTGGGACACACTCTCCACCAGAGCCCCAGCCTGGCCACAGGCCCTTTCCCCTGCTGGTGACTTGCAGCCTGGCTGGGTCAGCCTGGGGTCCTCTCATTCACTGTGGGCAGCTGCCCCCTGGGTCAAAATACCCTGCAGGACCCACGAGCACAACCCGGGGGGCCCCAAAGTCCCCCAGCCTGAGTTCTCAGCCCTGTCCACACTGACTTGCGGGGCCTGAGCCAATGGCCTCCTCTCACTGGGTCTCAGTTTCCTCATCCCTCATCCATAAAACAGAATAGATTAAACCCCTTTCCGCAGGGCTGCTAAGAGGCTTTGCAGGCAGGCAGCTGGCACAGAGTGGGGCCTCAACACTGCCCGAGTCCTTCCTACTGACAGGGGCCAGACAGGAAGGTCACTGCAGGAGGGGCCTCCCTGTGGCCTGCAAGAGAGCAAGACGGGGTGCCAGGCTCAGCCTCCTGGATCCTCCAGGAGACATAGTTTGTGGGCCCCCAGGTTTATGCAGGCATAAAGTGATCTCACTAGCAGGACCCCATCCCCCACCCCAGTCCTCATTGAGCCCTTTGATAGATGGGGTAAACTGCGGTCCCGAAAGAAAACTGATTGAATCCGGGGCTGGGATCCGGATTTGGACAATCCAGAGCTCCCACTTGTCTGCCCTCTGGGCGTCAGAAAGACCACTAGCCCTCCTCTCGGCTTCTTCCTCCTGTGCCCCGGACGGGCAGCAGAGGATGTGGGAAAGCCAGCTTCTCACTGCAAACGTTGGCGTGGGAGCAACTAACGAGGTTGAAGGGTGGTCCACTACCTCTCCTGAAAGCTGGGAAGTGGTACACCTCCCCCGCGGGAACTGGTTTTTTCCCATTCATAGTCCAACAGCCGCCACTCACACACGCCCCCTCCAGGGAACCGGGGTGAGTGACCTCGCAGCGGAGATGGAGGCTCTGTAATGAAGGGGTGGGGGTCCTCCAAAAAATACCTTCGAAGGTGCAATCCATGGCTCCGCGGCCCGCCGCCCCTTCGGGGCGCCCCGGCAGCCGGCCTGCGGGTCTCCGCTGCGACTTCACCACGCCTAGCCCCACTGCGCTTTAAATCCCTGGCTCCCGCCCCGCCCCATGCACCGCCCTGCCCCGCCCTCAGGCCACGCCCCCGGCCGGCCGGGCGTGGGGTGAGCGCGCGCGGCCAATCAGCCGCCAAGCCGCTGCCTCTCGAGGACCCGCCCCGGCCCCCGCCCCACCCGACCGCAGCTCAGGTTCGGGTTTCGCCCCAACACTGCTGGGGCCGGGGTTACCTGCGGGCGCTCGCCCTTAACCCGCTCGGCGCCGACTTCCGCCTGGGTTACTGGCGGTCACCGTGCAGGGCTCGGCCGCCCCGGCCCCTAACACCTCCGTTACCACCTGCGGTAAGTGCGGCAGAGTGCGCAGGGGCCGGTAGGGCTGGGGCAGGGATGCCCCCCAACGCCAGGGCTCTGTTTGAAACCACCAGCTCGCTGATACCCTGAGCCGCTCTCCACCGCGCGAAGCCTCGGTTTACTCCTCCAAAAAGTGGGACAATCACATCTCTTGACATTAAATAAGAGCAGTAAAAGAAATACGGGTGGTGTGCTCAGAACCAGTAAGTGCTTACGGCCCAGGGGACTGGAGCCTCCCCTTCCTGGGGCAGCTGCAGCATGCGGCCACCGCCCGCCCTTGAACGCGCCATAGCAGGTCACTGCCGAAAACTAAGGCCCAGAGTGCAGAAGGGAAACCCCTACACCAAATACACATCCAGATGATGTTTCAGTCTCCTGACTCTCAGCACAGATGTCCCTTTGCAGAGGGGCCTCAGCTGGGGGGCGGGGAGGTGGAGGGAGTATGTGTGTGGTCAGTGAAGTCTTCCCTGCCCCCCAGAGCCTCAGAGCCCCCCAGCAGTCCCGGTGAAGCCTGCCTCACTTATTCACTGTAGGGTCCTGGGAGGCCAAGAGGCATTCCAATCCCTGGGACAGGTGATGAAGGCAGAGTGTCAGCCCCAGGGTGACAGGCTCTGGGGGTCTTTTGAGGGGGTACCTAGGCCTACCTCCCCTTCTGTGTGAGGTCAGGGTTCAACACACAGAGAGATGACCAGAGCCTGGCCAGCAGCGCAGCTTAGCAGCTCAGGCTTTTGTGACCAGACAACCAGCAAGACCTGACCCAGCCTCCAACCACAGCACCGACCGCACCCCCCCCCCCCCCCCCCCCCCCCCGCCCTGCCCCTAAGCTCCTGCCAGCTCGGAAGGGGCCATTTCCCAGGCAGGGCAGGCAGGCACCACGGGGCGGAGCAGACGGGGCTCTGGGGCCGCAGCCCTTCTGGCCCTAGTCACCCTCCCTCTGCAGGAGCCTCAGTGAGGAAATACGACCTATCTCCTTCACACACACCCAGTTCCCCCTTTTTCTACATCCTTCCATGGCCTTGGGAGGGGTGCAAAGGATGAAAGAACTCCCCTCCAGCACCTCTGCTGCCCTCTGTCCTCTGCCTGTGGGTTCTCACTCTCTGACTCACCTCAAAAACACAACCGAACGCCACTGGTGCAAAAACCCTGACTCCTCTCAGTAAGAAGACGCCCTGGGCCTGAGTCCAGGCCGGAGCTCAAAAGCAGACCTCCTGCCCCATCCTTTCCCTACTGCTCCCCAGTTTGGGAGCCCCTCCCCTGCCCGCCCCATCCTTCCCATCTCTGCACATTTCCTCGCCTCTTTTTGTTTTCAGTTTCTCACATCTTTGTGCTCTGCTTCCACCCCCTCCAGACTGAGGAGGTAGGAGGAGGAGGCCAGTCCTCTCAATGACCCTCTGAGAATAGCAGGAAAGGCTGAGAGGGGGGCGGGCCTCGGGGCAGAGGGCACAGTCTAAGCTAAGAGGCAGCAAGAAAGGAGGCCTGGGTGCCAGAAGGCCCCCAGTGGCCCGTGGAGAGGCCAGCCAACCGCTGAACTCGTGGCCTAAGCAGCCCCTACCTCGCTCTTCCCTGGAGCTTGATCTGCTGGGCAGTCTCTGCAGAGCTGGGTGCCAGGACTAATTTGTGTGGGCGGGGCGGGGGGAGAACCAGCCCCATAGTCCCCCAGCCCACCCCACCCCAGGTACAGCCAAGCGGCGGACCCCTCTCTGTCCCTCACTTGCTGTGTAACCCTGGGGAAGCCAGCCCCCTCTCTGAGCCTCCACCCCGCGTCTCCAGAGGAGGGATTCTGGGAAAGGAAGTGTGTGAGGCACCCACGGCTCAGCAAGGTCCCAGCAAAAGTTAGTCCCTCTGTACCAAAGTGAATGGTCCAGAGCTCAGAAGTCAGGTGGTGGGTTGCCCACCACTTGGACTGTTCCAGGCGGAGCCCCACGCGCACTTGCCGGAGGCTGCTCTGTGGGGAGCTACCAAGGCCGAGACCAGCCTGAGGCAGGAGGCGCAGGAGGGCCAAAAGGCCGGCCTCAGCTTTGGGCTTTCTGGCTGTGGACCCCTGGAGCCTGAGGAGCAGGGGGCCTCGCCCACGAAGGCAGACTCAGAAGGCACGCACAGCTCCCACGAGCCCTCTCAGGACCTAGGGAGAGGGAGGGAGGCAGGGCTGGGGCTCAGAGCCATCACCACCCCCCCACCCCCTGCCCATTTTCACCTTCCGTGCCCCACCCCCCAGTGCCCCACCCCCCAACCGCCTGGATTCCTCCTTTTTCCTCTTCTTCCTCCTCTTCAGCCCTGATTCTATCAGGACCCAACAGGAAACCTGATACCCCTCTCCCTCCCTCCCTGGCTCTACCTTCTAACCTCCTTCTGAAGGCAGATGTGGGTCAGCCTTTGACTCTCTGGCCTGTTTACTTGGTGAAGCCGTGATGGAAATCCCGGGAGGGCCCCATACCATGAACTTGCAGGAGCTCAGCTATGACCACCACAGAAGCCTAGAGCCCGTCCCGCCTGCATGAGGCCTTGAATCCCAAACTGCTTGCATGCCTCCCAGGGCAGGGAACACACCACCTGCATAAAATGGCCTGGTTCATGAAGCCCACAGATCTACAGGGTCTGGCAGAAGCAATGCCTGCTTGAGTGTGGGTGGTAGGGTGATAATATGGGTGTAACAATTTATAGTTTTAATTTAAACATTTCACCTAAAATCTCCTATGGTGTACTTGAGTGTGATATTGTTATGTTACAGAATGACATGCTTATGATTTTGTAATAAAAGACTTTATAATAAAAAAGAGACGTTGCATGTGCCAGACCGTGTCTTTCTCTGATAAGGACTCTGGCCCTTCCCTAAGTGTCCGCTGCGTGTGGGCCTGTGCCAGGCCCTGAAGGTGCAGGGACACGGCACGAAGTCTTCCCGCGGGGAGGCCGTGTTCCAGCAAGGGGGCGGTTTGCAAGTGCGCGGAGGAAGGCGGGTGCAGGTGGTGGCGAGCACGTGCAGACACTGAGGCAGGGTAGAGTGTGCGAGGGGCCAGCGCCGATGAGATGGGCAGGGCTCTCTGAGGCGGTGACATCTGAGCTGAGGCATGAATGAAATAAGGA